TCTGCTAAAACTACAGGTCTTAGAATAGGGAGACGAACTGCACATATCACTCTGTATCGAGTAAAAGCCCAGAATCCCAGGCGTTTATAAACGTATATATATATGTAGCGGATGTGGCAGAGAAAATGAGACCTTTTTGTTTTTGCTACAACTACGTCAGTTTTGATCCGATCGGTCCAAACTCTTTTTTAAAAGATACGCTGCGAAATACTCTTCAAAATTATACCTAAGGTATAATTTCAGAACTTCAATCAAGAAAACTAAGCCAATTACATAAAAGTCGAAAAACCAGAAACTTTCTAAAATCAAAAATTATTTCTTGTGTTAACGTTTTGAAAGTAAGAAAAACTGAATCAGCCATTTTCTAGCCCTGACTTCACTCTATCCTTTAACTACGCTTCAGATTTTTTCACATCAAAAGCCACAGCAAAATAATAGTTTTTCTATCGGTTGTCATGCATTTTTTCATTAATTTTTTAAATTTTGGGTATAGTAGTGATTTCAGTAAAAGCCCCATAACTCCATCAAAATAAAAGCTTTTTCGGTCAGGTTTGCTTATTTTTGATCAGAAAAGATCGCTCTTCTTATGTAACAATAAAACTTCAATCGTGTTTTCCGTTTCTTGATTGAGCACATTGTTGGAAACGGGGAGGCTGTCAACTTTTGATGTATTTTTGTAACTTCGTTCTCGGGCACACCAATCTGCTCTAAAAAAGTATTTTTACACACCACGAGAAAGAGCACATTTGGAAGTATCAAACATAAACTGAGTTCTCCCTTTTGCCACACTTTTTAGCGAAAATATTAGCAGAAGAAAAAGTTCAAGTCGAAAAACATTTTGAGGTTAGAAAGTTTACATTTTTTTTCGACTTTTACCTAATTGGCTTAGTTTTCTTGATTGAAGTTCTGAAATTATAGCTTAGGTATGATTTTATAGAGTATTTCGCAGCGCATCTTTTAAAAAAGGGTTCGGACCGATCTACCGGAGCTGCCCAGCTCTGATCCAAATGTCTTCACCAAAAAGTGATGGAAAAGAAAATCTGTTTTTATTAATCGATAGCTCATGGAATTATCTTGCTCTCAAAAGCAATCCATTTTTTTATCACATGCTTCATTGTCTTTTTATAACAGTTCTGCATATGGGTCACGGGTGACTCATGGGTAGGTAAAGGATTAAAAATAATTATATGTTCAAGACCAATCTTTTTCTTTGTAATATTTATGAACTGTATCTTCTATCTGATCGTTGGTTAAAAAAGCATTTGAGCTTCCTCCTTTCGTACAACCGCTAGTAGCTTGGAAGGATTCTAATGCATCATCATTATCATCACTGGCACCTACAAGTAATATGCTTATTAGAAAAGTATTGTGTTTAGAAAGGCTTTCTTTTTCCACTTTTCGTATAATTTTAGTAGTTTCCTTGATTGAAGCTCTAAAATTAAAATTTAGATATGAGTTTATTTCGCGTGTAATAAATGAAATGCCAAGGGTCAGAGGTGAGCTCATAATCTTTCTAACAAAAGTCTCACCTTCGTTTTTCGAAACCATAGGTTTCTATGATTATTTTTCCACAATTATGATGCGCATTGAATGCAGATTCTACAGTAGAACGAGTGACCCTTAGTTATTGTGAGTGCTCGTTCTCAATGAATTTCCAGAACCACACAGTAGTTAACCTTCATACTTGGACTAGGTAGTCTACAATCGTCGAAGAGTATTTCATGTGTGTCTGAAATAGAATTGATATTCTTAGAATGAGTTATGAATTTTTCTTGGAAAGGATCTCATATCTCAGAATCTAATTTCCAGAGACCTCGATAGTAAAATAGCTGTCTTTCGGTAACCATTAACAGTTATCGCTCTGAATTCATATCATAGATAGAGGAGGATCAGGATTACATCTTGGTAAAAAGAAAAAGTTTTCATCTCTCTTGGATCAGGAAACAGATATCAGATTTATGGTCAGCAGCAAAGATTATCCACAGTCATGTATGTTTTAAGGAAAAACCGGTTGGACACTTAGGAGGGTTACCTCGTAAGTGATATCATATATAAGGACAACTGAATTGCTTATTAAAAATTATCAATAAATAAAGTGAGCGAACCTATTTTCTTAATTTATCATACTGATTTTAGTGGATCTCTTCAGATAAATATGAACAAGAAAGTTCACATAGAACAGTACTTGGAAAGTTCGTCTACGGCAATTCAACAGAAAAGCTGGTTTTATTGATTAAAACGAGGAACTAACTATTTATCTCATCACCTATTAACTGTAAGGAACCTTGTGGTGAATAATAGAATTCTCGTAGATAATAGTAGATTTCTCGTATAAAACTACATTTGCTGTACAGGATGGCAGATTTATCGTGTGAAAATAAATTTTCTGTGAATAAGACTGCATTACTTTGTGCAAAGGTATATTTCTCATGGATTTCTCGTCGATGAGACTAGATGTTCTATTGTGTTAGTTATCATGGATTTCGTTCAAGATCGTGCTTTATTAAGTGAGAGATTTAGGATTTTCGTTTTAAAATAAAGCATTCTAAGAAGCTTTAATTTAATAAAATGAAAACAACACCCAATTTCTTGGTTTCTTTGCATGGAGTGAGGATGTTAGATTCAAACTCGATTAGTGAGGTAGGACGAAACCGTGAGGTTCTCAACTTTTGATGTATTTTTGTAACTTCGTTCTCGGGCACACCAATCTGCTCTAAAAAAATTTTTTTACACACCACGAGAAAGAGCACATTTGAAAGTATCAAACATAAACTGAGTTCTCCCTTTTGCCACACTTTTTAGCGAAAATATTAGCAGAAGAAAAAGTTCAAGTCGAAAAACATTTTGAGGTTAGAAAGTTTACATTTTTTTTCGACTTTTACCTAATTGGCTTAGTTTTCTTGATTGAAGTTCTGAAATTATAGCTTAGGTATGATTTTATAGAGTATTTCGCAGCGCATCTTTTAAAAAAGGGTTCGGACCGATCGGATCAGAACTGACACAGTGGTAGCAAAAACGAAAAAGTCTCGTTTTCTCTGCCACATCCGTTATATGAATACGAATACAAACTCTGGGTCGAGGATGTAGATATATTCGTGTAGGTCTGGTATACACAGTATACGGGTACAATCTGTGTCCGTCTTATGAGAGCCGGTTCAGAAAAATATTTTCGCAATCTGATACAATGGGCAAATGGGATTTTTCAAAATTTCTTATGCCATAGTAATGGAGACTCTTCCACAGCTATTTTCTATAAACTTCCAGTCTGGCAAACCGAACGTTGCCGAAAATACTCTTTCAATTTCCATGTTCCCGGCGGCATGTGTCTACTTGGCGATTTTTTCTTTACGCTTAGGGTTTTAGTCCGTCCTAAGGTCATACCGATCGAGTTTTCGATTGAATGAGGGCAATGACCGATGTTCATCAAGTGTATCAAGATTCATGGCGAGTCAATCACACGTTAACAATCTATCTAAATATTATATGATCCCTCATTCGATCTAGACATAGCTGAAGAGTACAAACAGAAGTTAGTTTTGGTTGCAGTGACACTTAAGGTGGAAGACTGATACCCAAAAGTTTTAACGGTTAATGTAAATTTGCAAGGTTAACATCCATAAGAAATGATTGTGGCGAAACTACAGCAGAATATCAAGGAGCGAAATTTGAAAAAATGCTATTGTCTGCTGGAACTAGCTTTGTTCTGTTCAGTTGTTTGTAGTAACGGTTTTCTAGATAAAGATCGACAAAAAATGCTGTATATAGCGGCACAATGGAGATAAATCCCTTATAAATATGATAATGAAATAAACTGTCATCAAGATCTTCGATTATGCGACCTGTCCGGGCTCAGTGCAACAGAAAACCCCCACAATTCTTAGTCTTTATTTGTAGAACCTGATTACAAATTTATTGCACTTATCCATTGGTGAAAAAAATAACCGTTTGCAAAAGAAACTAAAGGGACCTTTTTGATTTTCAGCTATGATAACGTTGTATCCCTTCAGACAAGCCTGTCTCAAGAAGAAAGACTTTTCAAGGCCTTATATTTTATTGAACTTATGAGGGAACATGTGCAACAGTCCGGTCGTCTTTTTAATGAGACCTAGTGGACTATAGGTAATCGATCATGCTGATTCCGAATATCAGCATGATACAGGCTTATAGGACGTCTAATGGACGGTTTTCTTGAAAACTAGTTTTCCAGAAACTCTAAGAAATAACCAAAACCTTTCTTAATGAGACATGATTGTAGCCTGCAAATTTCTAATTAAAATGAGAAATGTCCCAGCTCTACATGACTTTTCTTTGCAAAGTTATACAATTTACAAGAAAAGCCCTAAATGTTCATTGTCAGCTCAAAGCTACAGAAATAAGAAGAAATTAATTTAAGCCTTTCTTGTAAGTTCTATAACTTTGCAAAGAAAGCCTGTGTAGAGCTGGGAGATGTCTCATTTTAATTAGAAATTTGCGGGCTGCAATTATGTCTCATTAAGAAAAGTTTTGGTTATTTCTTAGAGTTTCTGGAAAACTAATTTTCAAGAAAACCGTCCATTAGAAGTCCTGTAAGCCCGTATCATGCTGATATTCAGAATCAGCATGATCGATTACCTATAGTCCACTAGGTCTCATTAAAAAGACGACCGGACAGTTACATAGGTTCCCTCGTTAGTTGTATAATTTGGTTAGACAGGGTCGAGATCAAGATTCTTCATACTTTCTGAGATTTCAGTGCAGATTGTGGCTCTCTAACATATTGTTTAAACAATTGACTTGGTGACATATTTGCACTACCTGACTAGGTCAATAACACACACCTGAAAGTAATTTTTACTGTTATATTGCTAGCTGCTGTCATGGATCACCAGCAACAAAAAGCAGCAGTATTCCTCGGCCTAATTAGACAGTTGTTAAGTGTTAACGACCAAGAAACGGTACTGAAAACAGTTGAAAGGATTTTTCTGCATTGGCCGCATGACGAGCCATCGAAAAAGGCCATGATGGAAGCTGGATGGTTTTGTTGTGGTAACGGCGGGGATTTAGTTGCTTGTATATATTGTGGCGAAGCTCGAGAAAACTGGATTCCCGAGGACATTCCGCTTGAAATACACAAACGTCTGGCTCCCGACTGCTATTATTTCCAGTTCGAGTCTCAAAAGTTTCAATCACCGAACCACGCTGTTGTAATCAATGAAAACAATCCATCGCTGCTTCGACAAACTACGCGGAATGGCATAATCGCACGATTTTCGACTTCAAAGTACGCTTTAGTTCCCGAAAGAGTACAATCATTCGAAGCGTGGCCACTCCATGAACCTCGCCCGGATGTTAATGAGTTGGTTAGAGCCGGATTTTTCTATTCTGGCAGAGAAACAATAGTACAATGTTTTTATTGTAATGGTACGTTACAGATCATGTTTCGGTCCTCTAATCCGGCTCAAGAACATATACAAAGATTTACGACTTGTTCCTATGCGCAGCAACTGTCTGGTACTGCTCAATCAAGTAAATATAACCCATTACTTTTTCCTGTTACAAGAGTTTCTCCTACGCAATAAGTAGTCTTTTATCTCATATATGAATCACTAGTAACGACACCAGAAAAAAATTCTCGTTTGGGTCAACATACCAACAAGTTTCAAAAACGAGAGAAAAACGGAAGAAAATTGTTTGAACCGGCTGTGAGTCCAGTTCAAGCTACTCCGTAGTGACACGACTAAAACCTGTGCGCGTTTTCACTATCTGTCTCTAGATTACTTTATATGCTTTTATTTTTTTAGGAGCTTCGGGTTGTGCAGGAGAAAGTGGTAGAGATGGTAAGTTCTTGCATCCCTCCATGTAGCTTTACCTTTTTTAATGGCTTAAGTTATTTTAGGTGCACCAAGGAGGCACTCCAATCCAAGCCTATGTTTGCTGTGTACGCAGGAACAAAAACGTATAGCTTGTTTACCGTGTGGGCATCTGGCATTATGTGTTGGCTGCGGTAGGACAGCTCGAACTTGTCCAAGCTGTGCTTCGGAGATTTTACAGCTAGTAAAAGTTTATACCTAGCCAAATCATATGTGAAACCAGCTCTAGCTGTATTAAAGAGTGAGTTGAGTAAGATTAATCAAGACAACAAAGCGACACCCTACTTCTTTCTGTCCTAAAAAAGTATACTTGCGCAACATAATGTTGTGGATCCGTTATGGTGTAAGGACTCTAACGATGCTAGCAATTCAAAGCATTATTCACTCTATTATACAGGTCAAATTCTATGTTTTGAGCCATTCTAGTTCCTCGCAGTCAGTGAAATGTTTAAGGAGATATTTTTTAGGTTCAAAAGAAAATAAAACTTACAATCTAAGTGGGGTTATTACACTTCTTTTTATAAGATTCGTTAAAAGCCTCGTTGAAGTGTTGAGACTGGTTTGGTACCAGCAAAAAACTGTTTTTAACTCTAACCCTTTTTTTAATGAGGATGGATGTGGCCACTAAGTATTTTAACATACGACACTAATCCACGCTTAATATTCTTCATTTTATGATCATCAATGTTACTGTGTGATTATTTTGTTTGTATGATATGTATTTACACCGGTCTTTGTTAAACCATTCATTAAAATAAATCTAATATCGTTCTCTTTTTTTTGTTTTACACTCGAACATTTCTAAGTTCTGGCATATATGAGATGGGCAAGAAGTCCTGAACGCAGTTTCTCTGACGAATTGCGATATATAGCCTCTGGCTCACCCTCTAAGCTAATTACTTCTTTATATTTTACAGGTAAACTTAAAATCTTCTGAAAAAAGGTTCAGACAGCGAATTCATTGGTATGCATCTTAAATCAGAGTTTCTTAAGGTCTTTGATAACTTTTTTGTTAACAGCTCATGCTATGTTTGCAGGGTGTGTGGATTAAATGTTTTTGATTATTCTCTTAATTCTTAATCTAGTGTTACTAGTTAACCTGCCGGTCATCCAGCGTTTATTAAACATTAGCAGAAAGGTATTACAGAATGGAAGCAAACGACAAGTTGGTAAGTGTTGTCTCGCAACTATTAAAACTGATTTCTGTTTTTTTGCTCTTATTTCCAGAATGTTATTTTTCACAATCTCATGCGATTGACGTACGTGTCTTTTGGGTGATACCTATTATTTGTGTTTATCGTGTTATATTATATTTTCCTTCTTAGAATTTATGTGTTGTATGTTGTGCGGAAGAAAAATGTTTAGCTTGTATGCCCTGTGGACATTTGTCAACGTGTGTTCCATGTGGACATTCAGCTCGGAGTTGTCCAATCTGTCGTTCAAAGATTGAAACTTTAGTTAAAATTTATCTGTAAATCTTGTATATTCGCAAAATTGTCTCAGACATTCATACTTTTCCATGGTCTCTAATCTTTTCGCTTTTTAGTTTTTTGTGAAAACAATAAACAATAAATTGTATCGATAATGGAGTATTCTATGAACAATATAAACTTTGTCACATTGTAGAGAACACTTCGAAATATATATGAAAAGAGTTTAGAGGTTTACGGGTTTGTAACTTTCTAGAAAAACATTTTTTAATTTTTTTCGGCCTTTTTTGTGCATTTTTTAAAACTTAAATAAAATGTTTACTTTTCAGTTTGAAACCTCGCTTCTGTAACCAATGGATAGAGTACATCGAGATGTATATGTGTAAAGATTGTCATCGTTCTCAAATAAGGTTTGGCGGAGAAATTTGGATTTGACCTGAAGAATGCGTTTTGGGGGCCAAAAGTGTGCGTTTTCGAGGTCTTGCCTACAGTGTCTCTGCGAAAACGCATTTTGGAGCGGAAATGTGAGTGCAGACGTTGTTTATCATAGTTTTTTCTATGATGTAAGACTTGCTGTCGCTAAATTTTTTAAGGTCAATCTTTAAAACTGAAAATACTGAGACGCTGCACTGAGGAGAAAAGATGCTGAAATTTTTACGCTACTTTCGCTTTCTTCTGAGCCAAACGATAGTGTTCAGAAAATCTTCAATTCATAAAACATAGACACTTTCACATACGGAATCAAATGGAAGCGTCAAAAATCGAAAAAAATAAAGATTTTCTGGTCGGTTTTTCAGGATACCGGAGTGCAAAATCGTTCAAACATTGCACAGAGTTGCGTTTCAGAAATATAGAAGAACACTGTGAGAGTAGAATTCGATACAGAACAATTTTTGATCCCACAGTTTTCTTCTATACTTCTTTCCTGAAGCGACACTCTGTACAAGGTTTTTTCAAACACTGATGG